TCGTTGGTCGACTGAATATGCAACAAAGGATGAGATTCTTCAATCATTTGACTGATAATGTATGTACCATGCTGTTAATCAAATTGCCTTTCGTCTTGTTTTCTGCCTCATTTTGTCACAAGAAGCTGGTGCTGTTAAGGGGTGATATCCCTGTGGTTAACTTTTGCACAATACGAAGGCTTATCAAGAATAAGTTCCTTGTCGTCGAATATAGATAGCCGCCGCGATTCAGTGCTAAAACACAATCGGGGTGCAGGCTACATACTGGTTCTCGGCGACGTTGCGAATAGCTGTGGTGAATACCGTCAAGATGCGTTGAGATGTAAACACATTGAAAATACCGAATTCTCGGACCTTCCTCCGGGAATACGTCGAGGACGCACGTCGAGATTACCGACATGCAGAAGAAAGAATGACCCAGGAACTCCGAAATCGTGCGCATGGTACCCCACTTCAGCTACACCTGTCGTGACTTGGCTGCACTACTTCCTGTTCATTCATATGGCGATATTACGCTTCATGATTCACTATCGTTAGATCAAATGTTATCGGAAACAGTACAGTGTATAAGTGAAGCGTAGATGGAGAGAGAAAAAACAAAACAGCCAACCGTTTGAAGAGGTTCTCTTAGTTAATCGAGTCTCAAGTAAAAGCACGTCTTTTTAGTTAATAAGTGGGAAAAGAAAAATTTTGACTTTAAGCGCTAGAAAAGCTAAAATTTTGCAGCTTTGAAGGATTTCCAACTTCGCCTAAAAGCTGGAACTTAGGTTGTTTTGATGTAACTGCAGAATGAGACAGACATATAAGCACAAACTGACTGAAAATTCAGTGCAGAAGAGGAAAAACGAAACGAACGGCTTGGACAAATCGCTATTTTCGATATGGCAGGATTTTCCCGGCATTCAATTCATATTCCTGGTATCAAAATCATTTCCAGTGTTTACGATACTTTACAGGTGGGCACTGCTATTTTGCTTTTTTTGTGTGTCGGATATATTGAGCATCTGTGCAGTTTCTACGAATAAACTCAATCAAGAGGGATTGTCTGAACTAGTCGAGGGGAAAAATAAAATATTTTTTTAATGTGTGATAAAGACCAAATAAAAATTTTAAATCAATTCTGAAATAATCTGTAGAAAACAGAAAACAA